CGTTACGGGGCCGGCGTGAGGCGGAGCGGTGGCGCCGGTCGGGGACGCGGGGTGTGCAGGTAACGGGGAGTTCGGGGGTACGGGCTGCACAGGTGACGGGGAGCTCGGGGGTACGCGCTGGGTAGGTAACGGGGGGCTCAGGAAGCGCGATGCTTAGGGAGCGCAGTGTCTGAATGACGGAGTGCTGAGGGAATGATGTGCCCCGGGAACGCGGTTCTCGGGGTACGGAATGCTCGGGGAATGCTCCGGGAAGCTCGGGGTGCTGAGCGACACGGGATGCTCGGGGAATGGAGTGCCTCGCTTTCGGGGTGCTCAGGAAACCCCGCTCCTGCTTGCAGGCGCGGAGCTGTCGCGCTTGTGTATTTGATATTACAGAGGGATTTTTTCCATTTTAAGGGAGCGGTCAGAGGTGCCGTGGCCCCGGCCGCCGCCGTGGTTCTGGCGGTGCCTGTTGTGAGGCAGGTGAGCAGTCCCGGGGTGCTAGCGCTGCTTTCCGGGCAGCAGGAAGCGTTCCAGTCAGTCTCCAGACAACCTGGAGCAAATCCCGCCGGAGCTAAGCCTCTGATGTCTGTCCTAATCCTGTCTGGGGGCTGTTGACAATGGCAAAGACCAACACACGCTCCAATGGTTTTGTGCCCTCTCCAGTAAACAAAAAAAAGTGTAGGAATTTTGATGCTTCTCGCATCAAAAGTGGCAGAAATTTGGGAGAGTGGATGGGATAAGTTTAGTGGCTGCTTCTCTTGGGCTATGTGGCTTAGCCCAGAGAGGTGCAGCTCTTAAACTAATGAGGGAAAGCAGGAACTGTAGTGCAGGACAAAGGAAATAGCTTCCCACTACTAAAGGGCGGGGATGGATGGGATATTGGGAAGAAATTCCTCCTTGTGAGGGAGGTGAGGCCTTGGCACAGGAGAAGCTGTGGCTTCTCCATCCCTGGAAGTGTCCAAGGCCGGGTTGGACAGAGCTTGGAGCAACCTGGGATAGTGGAAGGTGTCCCTGCTCGTGGCAGGGGCTGGAATGGGGAGAGCTTTAAAATTCCTTCCAATCCAAACCATTCCGTTTTTCTCTTTGTAGGGCAGGGTGCTTCACCAGGCACAATCTTTTACTGTGCCTCATTTTTGCTAAATGGATGGCGATTGGGTGTAAGTAACACCTCTATGAAAGTAACAAGAAAATAAAACCTTTAGATAAAACAGACAGGATCCTGCCTCCTCTCTCATTTCAGCTCTGTGAGAATTTTGCTGCTGGAAAGTGCTGAGACCTTGCTGTGAATTCATTGACAGTTGTTCTTTTAACCTGTAGTTTTACTGCTTCAGAGGTAGGATGCTCTTAATATACTGATCTCATTCTCAAAGCAAAGCAGAAAAAATAAAGGTAAATACTTTCTTCATTCACTCCAAGATGGAGTGAAGTTGTGATCTTACTGCTCTAAGGAGGCATTTGAGCCATGAAAACTTGAATTTTTGTGGTAACTATGGATCTGGAAGCGTGGAATTTCAGGAATGGGTTTGATATTACTGCTGGAAAGGGGAGCCCTGTGCACCTCTTTTCCATCCCTTTGCTTGTCTATTTTCTTTGCTCCTCAAATGCAGGTGTAAGTGGTGTGGTGGGCTGGACCCAGTGCCAATCTGGCAATTAGCACCATATGGGAGTTGAATGCATGGAGCTCTGTGTCTGTGCCTGTACATCCAGCAGGGAGAGGCAGGCCCGCCCATTAAGCAGTGACAGGGATCCAAATCAGTTAAGCTGCTCCTGAAGGTGTTCCCCAAGGCTACGCTTTGCTGGACTGTCCTGGTGTGTGTGGTTTGTCTTTTTGGTGGTTGTTCTTTTGTTTTGGATTTTTTTGGGGATGGAAGCTGTTCACTACTCCTTATTTCCAGATGTTCCTAATTTCCTCAGCCTCTTCCTTCTACTCTTTCCCAGGAGAAATATTTTTGTTTCCTGAAAAAGTTTATTTTTGGGTGCTGACCAAACTTCTATCTGTGAAGGGTTAGAAATAGAAGAACTGGGGCATTCTTATAATACTGTCTGTGGTGGTTTTCACCCATAACTACATGGGAATCATTGCTATAACAGATGTTCTGGTTTAGAGAACAAAACCAGTTTTTGCTAAATGTAAAGGTGGGAGTGCTAACAACAAATAAAGAAATCACAGAGAACAGGTGGATAAAGAATAGAAACAGATGTAGGAAAGAAGGAATTACTCTCAGTTGCTCACTTTTGGCCTGAATTGTATTTTAACAGCTGTTTCTCACAGCAGAAGGCTCTCCATCCAAAAAGATAAAAGGTGAGACTATTGGCAAAAAATTATATCAGCTACATGCAGAGAATTTTTTTTTTTTAGTATAAACAGTTTTTTTACCCTCACTAAGACTAGGAGCAGTTAACCTGGAAAAAAATTACTTTTGTTTATTGTGTTATTTTAAAGTCTGTGTTAGTAGAGCAGTTCATGCTTAGTGGTAATTAGTGGAGAATAAATGCTTCTCCTTGTAATGTGCAAGACTTTTATATAAGCCTTTGTGACATAGATTAAGTGCAATGTTAAAATACTACTTGTGGGACAAATGCTGAGTTTCCAGACCTTGGTGTGGTTTGTTTTTAAATGCTTTTTGTCATGTGGCTCTTGCCCCTGCCCTGAACCTGGTCTGCAGTGTACACATCCCATTGTTTACATCTGCTTTGCTGGAAGCATTTTCCTTTAGTTCCCTTATTAAAATCACTTATGCTGGCTCTAACTGCTGTCCCTGTAGAATTTTTCTTCACAAGTTCTCATGAAGAAGAGAGCTTGCCTGATATTATTTTTTGTTAGAAATGGCTGCATAACCTTTTATAAGTGACTATGTCCAGTATTACAGGTGGGTCTCAGCAGTGCAGAGGGTCTAGTTAAATATTGACTTGTGTAGGACTTTGGTCTTGGGTAATCCCTGCTGAAGCTGCAGCCAGGAGAAAGGTGTTGTGGCAAAGATAATCACTTTAAGCCACCCCCTGCCAAACTGAAGCCAATCTGACTGTGGGGAATGGTCTTAGCGGAGACTCAAAAACCCCCAGAGTGTCCCCATGTCCAGGGCTGGGAGTCTGCATGATGTGAGAAGTCAACCACATCTGTACCTGGCAGTGGTGACAGCCCCAGTCTGTCTCTCTGTAGTGAAAAGGCTGGAATTTGGGGTCTCCCTGATGGTGCCACGTCTGGTGGTTTGTTCTAATCTTGCTCTTATTTGTATTTAACTGTCCCTCGAGCTGGAGGGAATTGTGTGTGCCAGGAGCCCAGCTGGCAGGAGGTCTCTGCTCTGGGACCATGGCTCCTACTACAGAAGGCTCTTTGTCCTTTATAGACACGTGATCCCTAGAAAAAAATAAACATTTCTCATTCTTGCAGGGATTTGCTCTCAGATATGAACTAAGCAATAACTGTTTCAGCACTTTCAGCCTGCTCCATCCTTCCTTGTGTTGTGGGCTGTTTTACAAAAGTCTAAAATCTGCTTGCTAAACTTTATTAGAAATAGAATTCCTCTGGGACTGACAAGATAAATTTTGTTCTTGATGATGTAGCATGTATCGTTCTTGACTGCTTTGCTGTGGAGAGCTCAGCAAGCAACATAGAGCTATATATTAAAGAAAACTAGTTTTTCTCTAGCTAAGAGGCTTTCTAAGATGTGGGAGACATCTTAGACTTTATTTGCTTGTGGGGAACAGGAATTTCAAACTAATCAGAAAGTTTTAGCAAGAAAAAGAATATCCAGTCATATATGGTGCTTTAGGTAAAATAATTTTGCCATCCTTTAATAGTAAAATATTTCGAGCTGTTTATACCTGGGGGAATAAGTTATTTTATATCTGTGGTAAGTCTATTTTCTGTCAGAATCTGGTTCTAGGAGGATTTTCCTCCTGTGTTTCTGGAAGAAGGTTGGGTCTGTCATGTGTCAACTTTGTTTACTATAAACTGAGGTTTCGATGGAAGAAACATTTTGTTTTAGACGCAGGATTGGGCTGCTGATTTTTAACTTTTTATTTTTGAAACCATTTCCTTAAGTGTGATGGGTGTGAACTGAAGAACCTGTTGAGTTCTATGGTTGGCTCGAGTTTTTAGCATTCCTGTCAACTTTCTCCACTTTGTGAATGCAGTGTAGCAGTGTGAGTCACTGTCAGGTGTGTGTCACGGATGTGTGGCTGTCTGGTGTGACTGAGGTCAAGGTTTAGGCTGAGCTCCAGATGGTGGCCAGAGGATTACTTTGAGAGCTAATTACAAGGCTTCTTTGTTTAAGTCTGAATAGTTACGTCACAAAGATATTCTTTAATGATTCATCAGGCAATTTCGTGGGGGAAATAGCCCACAAGTTTTTAACTCTCTGATGAGGTGTGTTTTGTCCTTAGCCTGCCTGGCTTGTGTTGAGCTGTACCCCAGCACTTGCAGGCTGTTTTAATGGGCATTCACTTCCTGACTCTGCCAATGGGTTCTCTGGCATCTCTGAACTCTGGATGTCTCTTTTTGTCTGCATGTGTGGCCTACATTTCTCCTTGCACCCACCTCTGGAGCAGGCAAGCTGCTGTGGTGTGGGCTGTGAACAAAGGCCTCTGTCTGTGGTTAGTTCAGGCATAGACTCCCTTGAGTGAGCAAAGGCTATTTCTGGAGTTCCCTCGGGGAGAAGGTGATCAGGAATCCAATCTTGGAGCTGAGCACAGAGGGAAGCGCAGCAGTGTCAGCCTTGGTCAATGAGCTGGGTCAGCTGCTGGTGGTGGTTCTGTCAGAGAGGATCCTGTCTCCTGCAGAAGGGCTTTGTAAGGTCACCTGACAGCAAAGTACTGAGAAAACATTAATTTTACTCCATTGGTTTGTTACAGTCACCAAGAAACGCCTTGCCCGCATTTCAGAGACTTGTGAGTTTTGGTTGCTCCTATCTTAGCTCAACAGATTTGCCAGCTCATGGATAAAGAACTTTGTCCCCAGCATCCATATCTCTGTATCAGTGTGTCAGCCTTTCTTGTGAGGTTGCATTGTCACTCTCTTAGCTGGTGCCACTACATTTGTGACCTTTGGCTTGTGGCAGGATGGCTCAGTGCTAAGGGGGATGAAATTTCCTCGCAATGTTATCCTTCCCTGTGTCTTGGCTACGCAGGTATCCCTCAAAGAGGAGTTTCCCACTAATGCTGTGTATCCAGTGCTGCTGGTGGCTTCAGGTCAGCCTGACACCTGCATGTTGGTGGAGCAAACAGAGTGCTGGGCTCTCATCCTGGTGGTGCCATGGACCTCAGCAGATGGCAGATGGATGGTTGAGTTTTCATAGAATCATTTGTTTTCTACCTGTTTTCCTTGCAACCTGAACACTTAAGTTCACCATGTTGCTTGGCAGCATTGGGACACCGCTTTGGGAATAAGAATGTTTAGCAGTTGCTTTAGCTGTAGGGTTGCTGGAAGGACTCCTGTGTCCCTGGGCACAGGTCAGTGTGTCACATACCTGACACAGAACACTGTGACCTCCCTGGTTCCCTTACAAACAGAGCTGTCCTTTAATGGGGTATTTACATTCCCCAAGGCACAGTGTCCTGGAGTTTCAGTGTGCTTGTCTGTCTGTACTGGGAGGAAATACCGGTGCTGGTTAACTGATTTAGTGTGTTCTCGTGGGTAGGGGCCCCTCCTGCAGCCTGGTGGGCAGAACAAGGGTTCTGTCTGTAAGCTACAAGTATTATTTTTGTGTTCAGTCATCTATTGCATGTTCCATGGGCAGGAGCTCTCTGGGCAGAGATAATCCAAACTGTTGATGTGCTCTGTGTAGTGCAGTCAAGAAGAGGAGCTCAGTGGAGTGATGGGCAGTTGGCAGAGCACATACCTGTATAGAAGCCTCCTAGTGCTCAGGGCCTTAGGGAATGTTTGCACAGTCATTTTTCCCTGTGTCTAGGGCCAGAATGTACCATCTGCAACAGAAAGTCACCATGATATCTCTTAAGAGGTAAAAGGATTTGTATGGGTTTTCCTTTGCTTTGTCAGGGAATAGCTGACCTTGGGGCCAGCCATGAGCTGGCTGCTTTTCTGTGTTTCTGAACATACTGAAGCAGCAAAGATCAGTCCCCAAAATCCATGTGAGATTGAGTCAGGACCCTTTTCAGAACCCAGATTATCTTGAAGTCTCTGCTTTAATTTCCAAAGTAATTCAGTTCTCCTTTAAAAGATCTAAACCTAAGCCCTGGCTTCCTGGTTCATGGAGTGGGAGGCTATTGTGTACCTGACCTCAAACTGGCTGCTGCTCAAGGTTCTGCAACATGTGATGCCTGGTGTTGCATCAGGTGATGGATGGGGGATTTTGTTGATTCCCTCTTGGCCAAGGCATCCTTGAACCTTCTATTTTGAGACACCCATATGGTTGCAGGACTGAAAGAAACACAAACTTGAGTGTTGCATCCCATGGGCTGGTTCTGGGAAGCTGTTGACAATTACAGCAACAGCCCTTGCTTCTCCAGACTGTCACTAGAACCAGGAAAGGTGGTGGTAAAGAACCTGCTCAGCCTCTTTGTGCTCAATGAGCTCAGTGTTTTCTTTGGGGGTCACTTCATACTCCTTCATTTCCTTTCTTCCCCTGTAAGGCATGCTTTTTCCAAGGTTGTGCCCTAAGATTTCATTTCATTTTTGCTGAAACCTCACACCTCCGAGAAGGTGGTGCTAGACCACACTTGTTTTTCCATAATTAGAGGATTGAATCTTCCAGACATTCTTTGAAGCCACTGAGAGAGCAAAGGCTATTGCCAGAATCACCTGGAGGTGCATTAGGGGCTCTTAGGGGCTTCTTTATTCTCTGCATGATGAGAGAATATTCCTTGTCCTCCTTTCTCTCGGGCTAACTCAGATTATGCTGATAGCATTAGCGAAGAACAATTCCAAGTCCAATATCACTCTACAGCAAAAACTTGGAGGTTTGTTGAGGCACTCACCAGGCACTGGGACTTTGCAGGGTATCCCAGGAGTGAAACTGCATTTTGTGGAGCAAAATATACTCAAAAAAAACCACAGATATATACACAAAAATATACACAAAAAAAGAGTGATGTTTGCAGGGGGGACTGATGCTTGTGTTTGAGAGAGCTGAAAGAAGGATCTCCAAGGCAGAGCTCTACACATACGTGCGTGTGTGCAGTTACGTGATGTTCAGGAGAGCTGCTTTTTAAACACTTTCCTTTAATCCTTGTTGTCTGTATGACACTCTGCTCTTTCTTTTGTAATTCTTCCAGCAAGCTGACAAGGACTGTGAATTTGGGATATGTGTAAAACCTCTATACCTGTGAGCTTGCAAAGAGGTGTGGGACCTGTCCTACAGATATTCCTAAAAAAGGAAACCCTTGGGGATTCTTTGCATCTCCAGCAGTGAAGCGTAAAAGTGGAAATGGACAGTAGATGCTGAGCTGTAGTTATTAGGAAGCAGGAGTCTTTTCTAGGCTAGTGGGAATGTTCAGAGTGTGACCTGAGTAATCTGAAAGAGTCGAAGGGTTTCACTGCCTTGAGCAACTTTGTGACTCTTGAACAGATGTTTCCAAAAGGACACAACATTGATAATGGGAACCGCGGGATGTGCCACGTTGAAATTTTATCTGCCTAAGTAGCTGCTAGTCCAATTCCATTAATGTTTGCATATTTAATAAACTTCTAATGTGGGATTTTAATGAGTTGGCAGTTATCTCTGAACACCCAGCAGCAGCAGCAGTCTCAAAGTTTAGGTGGCTCTCAAATGGAGATTTCTCTCACTTAGAAGGCATGTGGCCTTTCCTTGGGCAGTCAGCACTTGGCAGGCTGTGGAATACTTTGATTTGGTTTGTATTGATGTACATCAACAGTGAATTTTTAATTTGGATGTAGCCCTAGGGTTAAATTTTTGGGGGAGGCATCTTTTTAGAAAGCCAGATGTAAGAGAAGTGACCTTGGTTAATCTTGTAACACACCATTTATCTTCTTGGGATGTTTCTTGCTAGTGATCTAGTTATTTTGGCTGCGAAATGGGACTGCCAGGGAAATTGCTTCTAACGTGGCATTTCCTCATTTACACTCCCAGTACTTTTGCTTTGCTTTTTCAGCCTAATTTTGCAAATGTATGTCCAAATCCTCATAGTCCCAAGCAGGGCAAGAAGCGCCCTGGTTGTGCTGCACAGTTGGACCCAAGTGTCTCTGGTGAGAAGGAAGGTAATCTGTCATCAAGGAAACTGCAGCAAAATTCAGCAGAACAGTTCAGTGTTTATGCTTTTGAGATAAACTTGAGTGTAGTAAGTGTATGTCAGTATGTCAAATGTAGCAGGCGAGGTGAAAAGGGACTTTTGATAACACAGTGCAATTCTCAGTTCTGGCACCAGTATGACTTTAAGTAAGTCCCTTGCACGTTCCCAATCTTCAGGATGAATTCTCAGTATGCTGCTGTGGATGGTAGATGTGTAAGCTGTGAGGGTGGCAAGGGTAAAGAAATAACTCCTTACAGCCTCCTTTGAGATAAGACAGCAGTAATTCAGTGACTGGACTATCAGATAGGTTTCAGGCATCCTTTCAGTGGGCCTGGTAGAAAGCAGGAAAAATTTAGTGTTTATCTGAGCTGTATTTTAAATTGAAGTTCTTTTTATATCTCCAGAACACCAGTTTGGGAGGAACAGCAAAGAGAATTAAGGACAAAAGCTGATGGACCATTACATCTAACGAAATGAGCCTTTTCACACTTTCCTACTGGAAAATAACATGTCCTGAAGGTGAGTAGGTTTTGTATGTGACAGATGAGGTGCTCGATGTCTTGGGCCTTGACCAAAGGCAGATCCACCCTCATTCCGGCTTGGCCTCACACTGCCTCTCTGGCTGGCACAACCCATGGAAACTTGCTTGTGAAAATGTGTATTTTATCACCAGGAGAAATAAGGAGAAATATTTTCCACTAATTAATTTTCATTGATTTAGAAGCCTTTGAAAAAGATGGAGTGCTTAGTGAAAGAGGTGAGCCATTGGGAACACAGATATTTTCTGGTGAGTGGAGAAAATGGTGTAGTTGTTTTATTTGCATGAAAAAGTTAAGCTTGTAAGACAAACTTTGGTTTAGTTTGGCAAGTGTATTAAATTACATAAGGCATTTTCAAGTTTTGTTCCAGTTGTACCTCAAATGATATTTTCAGTGTTCAGAAGAGTTGAAGAGTTCTTGCTATCAAAGATGATAAAGTAATTTCCCCAAAGTAAAGAACATAATGCTTGAATGAAATTAAATCAGAATTGTATTTTGTAGAGTTTGTGATATCTTTTATGTTATTTTTGTACTCAGCCCCTTAGGGCTGTAGGCAGTGACCATACAGTTTTGTTTTAAAATCCTTTAGTAACAGAAATCAAAATGGGAAATGTTACATAAGTCCTACACTCGACATAGAAATAAAACCAGCATTTCTGAGACAGTTAAGGTTTAAAATGTCTTAGTTTAGACTTTACTCTCACTTTAATAAATAACATAAAAGGAAGCCATGACGTATGTAGGCCTAAGTTTGCCTGCTAAGCAGCATTAATTGATTTTTTTTAAATTAGGCTAATAAATTTGCCTTTCTGATGGCTTCTTTGTTAATAATTATTTATTTATTTTTTTTGTCATGAGGCAACTTGCAGCTCTGAGCTTAAAGACAATAGTGGAGTGTAAATGGTGAAAACCAGGTGGTTATCAGTAGGCATTCTGCACAGAAAATTGGTTGAAAATGTTCAGCACTGGTGTCACATGCCTTTTGTACATAAATGTGTACATAAATGTGATTTGTACATAAATTTGTCCACAAATGTGAGGAAAAAGTCCCAATGGAAGTTCAGCCTGGAGTGAACTCTTCATGTGCTTTTATAGATTTGAAGCCATGTGAATTCCCTGAACATTTGTATATTTGGTAGCAGGGAGAGCCTCTCAGGAATGTAGGACTTGACAGGTACAAGAGGATGCAGTGTCAGGGGATTTTACTTGTTGAGGAAGAAAAGTCTTGTAGAAGTATTTTCTCTGGAGAGAAAAATACTGTTCACATTCATTGGTGCTCTTTGGTGTCTGCTATGATCTGCACAGTTCTGCATAAAAGGATGGAAGCTTGAAACCCCCAAAGCAAAAGGTGTGACTGAGTTCTAAAAGCTCTTTCCTAAGTGCCTGTGTTTTCCAAGTGTCCTCTTCAGATGTTATCTGTGGACCTTTTGCCAAAAACCCCATAAAGCTGAGGAATCTCATTGAAATACTTTTTCTGGTGTAGTCTGTGTTTTGCTGTTGTGTGGATGTTCTCTGCCTTTTGCTTTCTCGTTTCCCGGTCAGTAAAAATTGTGACTTTACTGTGTGCAGAAAGATTGTGCAACAGAGTGAAGAGAGAGAGTGAAAAGAGGATATTTTTGCTGTACTAAGGCTCCTTTGTTCTCAGAGGTCAGGAGGAGCTGAGCTCCAGTGATTTCATACACTCTCCTATTACCTGTTCTCATGCTGGCCGTAAGCCTAAAGGGACAGATCCTCCTCTGGATGAGTCATTAAATAAATATCAGGCCTGTGCTGGTATTCCTGCTCTGAGTACTTGTGTGTTGTTTACTTGCTGTTTTCTTAGCTGCTATCACAACCCCAGCAGATTTTGTCAGCACAGGGACTTCTCACGGTGTGCAGCTGGGGAGAGGCACCTGCACTGGAGCCAGGAGCTGTTCCAGCCTTGTTCAAGGAGGGATTTTCAACAGTAGCTGGGAAATGCTTGGAGATATTTCCAGTAAAACCGTTCTGGTTCTTGGCTCTTGATCAGAGGCACCTTGCCAGATGGCCTGTGGGCTGGATGTGGTGCCTGCTCCGACTGCATCCCTCCTGCAGGACAGGGCATGGGAAGAAAGTGCATCCCGTGGGAGCACTAGAGCACAGAGTGTTCAGAGCTGTCACTGGAGTGACAGTGTTTGTCAGCACTTGTCTCTTGGTCTGTTTCAGCAGTTTGTTCCTGCTGGGCTGCTGCAGGGAGGGCTGGAACTCTGTCAGCTGTGCTTCTCCAGCAGCTGCTGCAGCCAGAGCAGGAATGATTGTAGAATCCTAGAACCATGAAATGGTTTGTGTTGGAAGGGACCTTAAAGCTCATCTAGCTCCAGCCCTTGTCACTCACTAGATCAGGTTGCTCAGCGCCCCGAACAGCCTGACCTTGAACAATTCCAGGGGTGTGGAAGCCACAACCTCTCTGGGTAGCATATGATGACATGATGCATCTCCTGGCGGAGATTTGCAGCTTCCACGGGGACAGGGTGCTTCATGTGTTTGTGCTCACTGGGAAGCTCTACTAGCAAGGGGTAAGTTATGCTATCCACTGGCCCACCCATGCACCATAAGACTGATTTGCAGTGTGCACACGTTCTGATATTGGATAACCACTGAGTTTTGTCTGGAGTCTGGATTTGGGTCCATTTTTCATGTGAAGATTTGACTGTATCAGGCTTCTATCCTAACTCTTAAAACCTTGACTAGGTGTAGAGGTCCCTGGTAGGTTCTTTCCTTGCCTGTCTGCCCCAGTATGTCATCACTAATGGCCTTATGGGATTTGAAAATGCCTTGGTGTTTGTGGATGAAATTCTTGTCTCATTAGGACAAAAATATGCCATCAGTTTCACTTGCATCTTGACAAAATATGGACAGCTTGAGCCCTGGGCAAATACTGGATGATGCTGCCCAGCCAGAATCAGTTGCCATCCTTATTTTCTCTATGAGAGGGAATGTTTCCAGTGCTGCATGGCTGAGGCTGTTCTGGGGGAGCAGAACCGTTGGAGGTGAGGGCTGTGAGGCAGAGCTGCATCAACTTCTATTTGCATCTTTATTTTCCTGATACTTCCTTCAGGGCTTTGCTTATTCCCTTCTGCCAAGGGAAGCCCTCCCAGCCACCTCCAAAGACACTTGAAGTCCAGCTCATGGTGTGGTTCTCCCTCTTTCCTGTGGATCCCCAGGGTTCCATGTTACAAACTGCAAGCCTGGGAGGAGCTGCTGAGCTGTGGCACAGGCAGTGTGAGCAGCCTGAGACACACCAAGTTTCCTACAGGAAGATCCATAAGGTTCATCCCCACATTGAATTTACAGCCAGTGTTACAGCAGTGGGTTTGACAGCTTGGCTGCTGGGTGTATGTAGCCTTTCTGGGATGTTTCAGCTGCTGTGTTGGGAACCCTTTGTTTTGCTTTAACTGGATGTGAAATATCACAACTGTGGCCTGTTGGATCCCATTGGTGGCACAGTGTACAATCAACATCAGCCTGGGGTGGGCTGTTCACCCACTGCACTGTAATTACCTTGCCATGAACAAAGGAATTCCTGATCTGGGACCTTTCTGTGCAGCCCAGTTTAGTTAGAAAGTGTCAAAAAAAAAAGCTGCACATCTTTCTTTTATTAAGATCTGCTGTTAAGAAAATAATTTTTGCGAAGCAGAGCACTTCAGGCTGACATTTAGCGAAGGGAATAAACTGTAAATACCTATATTCACGTTGAAGGGAAAAGGAGACATTGTTTCAGATCCATGGTGATTTTTCCAGCTGCCTGAGTAAAACAATTCTATTTTCAGTATATGTTTTTCCTACATTTAAATATTGTGTGGATGCATTTAGAAAAATGTTTGATTATGTTCTGGTCATTTGTAACTTTTGGATACTGATTAGTAGATACAGGTGCAGCAATAAAGAAACTGTAAATTTGCTAGGTAGCATTGCAGGTAGTCTGCAGGTCCCCTTATCAAATAAGATTATATTGTTTCTCAAGCACATTGCACTTGTCATCTTGAAGCAGAATTACATTTCTATTAAAATAATGTTTGCTCTGTGCTTCCAGTTAAAGGAGAATTCAGCTTTACTGATAAAGACCACAATCCACTTTTATTTAATTAATTTACCACTTGGCTTGATCTCCATTCTCTGGTGCCTGAGTATTGCATTGTCTGCTGTTTTGGAGTAGCTGTGTTTGGAAAGCTGCTCAGTTTTTTGTATTCTGATGTCTGTTACCACAATTTTTTTTTGCATTGAAACCTAGCTACTGTCTTTGAGATGATGCATCTTTTTTAATCTCTTAATCTCTGCTTTTCTCTTTTTTGGTTTATACAACCATGATAAAAGTTTATGCTGGGGTCAGTTTGATGATAATACATTCCTTCTCTCCTTCCTTCAAGCCCCAGTGCAAATGAGGAAAGCTAAATTTACTGTCTGTTCTTCATGCCTTTTTGTCCAGTGCAGAAGAAAATTAAGCTATTTTGACCTTTCTTTGACACTTGTAGTCAGCAAAGATGAGGGCAAAGGCTTTGTAAAAGTAAATGAAATCGGTATTGTTTTCTTCTAAAATTGTTATTAATGTGCTATAGTGTGCTCCACTTAAAGTCCCAGCCTATGAAGGCAGGTGCAGGCAATCCCAGCTGCTATTTCATCCACCTTCGAGGGTTTGTCCATCTTTGAAGTGCCCTGTGGCAGAGGTTTGAGTGGGTACCACACACCTCTGGTGAGCTCTGTCCTGTCTTTCTCCGGGCATTTCTGGTACTGCCAGAGAATCACCTGGGTGGAGCCTGAGCAGGGCTGGCTGAAATCAGGGGCCCTGCCACTGGTACACGACATGGAGCAGAAAAAGGGCTCACAATTAACTGGATGGTTTCAAAGAATCCCAGAATGGTTTGGGTTGGAAGGGACTTTAAAAATCATCTCATCCTACCCCCTGCCATGGTCTGGGAAACTTTCCATTATCCCAGGTTACTCCAAGCCTTGTCCAGCCTGGCC